TACTCAGTTAGATACAGCCGCACTTGCTCTTTCTTATGAACACCTCACATCCAAAAAAACGTTTTCTCAAGCGCCCAGTTTTATTTTTATCTCGATCTACAAGTTGTCTGTAAAACAATTTTCGCCACATACGAGCATAAACAAAAAAACAAAACAAGCATGAAGGCACATAGTTTGATAGAGCATTAAATGCTCTACAAAACGTACTATTTGCTTTTCGTTCCTTCTTTTGTTAGAAAAACTTACTTTTCTCTCAATAATTCATCTAAAAAACACGTTTTTTTCGACTTTGCTGGGTTTATCTCGATGAGTTGTTGAGATATCGAGCTTAGATTTTCTGTGGTAATGAAGCAAACAAACAGCGATAAAACAAAAAAAAAGAATTTCGAAATCCGTTTTTAGAAACCGGAGTAATTTTAAAAATACGACAAAACTCAGTTGTACAATAAAGTTGCAAATGACTCAACGTAAACTGTTATCGATTAACGTAACTTTTAGGATGTTTATTACAGTAATCTATGCATGATCGTCAATTGTATTAAAAATGGTTTTCTGTAACATGTGTTGCAAATGTCGTTCGTATTAGTCAAAAAAAAATGATATAAAGTATCTTATAGTCTTTGACTCAACAGTCGATTTGTAATCTCAAATATATATGACTAATAGAAACAGACAAATATTTGTTTTTAATCAACATGATTCTAAAAATAAATTTCGTCTGAAAATAATTGTTAAAGTTAAAGCCAGTTTTAATCCGCAAAATGAACGGTATATTTGTCAATATAACGCCTTATTTTCACAACAGCAACAATCTACCGACTATTATTACCGATAAATTGGTTATTTTCAATTTCAACACGAGTGGTGATAGCTATAGCTTAGATAATGGATGAAAATTAGGTATATCTATCTAAATAACTAACCTACTAAAACTGAGACGTCTAGTCTAATTTGGCAAAATATTAGTTTGAATAAAGATTGTTCTATCAACTCAATTTTGATAAATTTTACTTCACTGTTCGCTTCACATTCAATATTGATTATGTATATAAAAAGATCAAAAAACTACATGTGCCAATAGAAAGACGTATTTTCAATTAGTTTTCTCTGTTCTTCTAAAACCATTTATTTCTAACTATCTATATATAAAGTCAATTTTTCCCTTTTTCTTTCCAATATATATAATAATAACCATCAATTATTTCTAAAAACAGATGTACTACGCTTATTTTTCTGTTTTTTTTTAAATAACGGTTATAGTAAGACTTTAAAGTTCTTTAATTTGGTACATCGAAAATACGATAAGGTGTGTGTGTGTGTGTGTGTGTGATAAGCTATAGTATTATAAAATACTACTGAAAAAAAGCGAGTCTACAATGAATAGTCTGAATAACTTTAGAATTACAACGACATAGTTTCTTGAATATATCGAATATTCGAATTTTGTATGTTACTGAGATTTGACACAATGCAGATCAAATTTCAAATGACGTTACGCATTCGTTTTTTCTTATTGTTATTTCGCTCTTGGTATTTTAATCCTTTAAATAGAGAAATGACTCGACTATTCTAATAAGAATAAAATTGTTTTTATGACATAATTTAATTAATAAGTTTCACTTTGTACAAGATACACGTAGCAAAGCACTATATTAACACTATTTGAAATAAGAGATATTTTTTAGTCTTTTTTTTTTCTGAAATGAAAATTTTACTCTGCATTCGTTTGTTCTTAAATATTTTCTTCCTGAACCTTGGTAGGATTTCCGTTGTTTTATTCACAAATATTTGCAGATGAGACCTATTGTAGCTAGTTCCGTTTCTTTGTGTATAAGTCAATTAATTTTTTTTTGAGAAACAATTTATATTCTCGTCACAAATTGATAAATACTCTTCAATTAATAATTGTTCTTTTTCATTATACATTTTGTTAAGATTATTTGAGAGAATCTCTTGTGAGACGGAAGATGATAACAGGTGCCAATTTTTTAACTTCTGAATACAAATAAAAATCGATTGTATAGCATCTTACCATTTTTATAACTTAATAAATAATAATCGTTTGAAGATCATCGGATATTCACAATTGTAGCGACTTCATGTTTCTGTAAACCTTTTTTTCTAAACTGAAGTTGCCTTTTTCTAAAGGGTTGAAAGACTGCTGTATGTCTTGTATTCGACCGTGACTCCTCCTGGTGTAGTTAACCTACATGTTCGCGTATGTATGTTTTTTTATATATATTCACTCCTAGGTTAAACCAGTCCGGGTCAGGTTAATTAATAGATCCAAGGTTAAATTAATAGATCCACGTTTTTCTCTCTAGTCTACAGAGTGTACGTATATGCAGTCTTTCGCGCTAAGCATGTTTTTCTAATACTGAATCAGTTCAAGTCAAATCACCTACACTCTCTTACCGTATTTTGTATTATTTTTCCCTATTAACTTAACCATACCAAATTCATCTAATCAGCGAGAAAAGATAGAGAGATAGGAAGAATGCATACAAGTTTATCACGTACACTAGAAAGAGAAATGTAGAAGAACTGCAAATAAATCTGATCTGACTATCCTCACCTAGCCTCACTCACATATTTATTTATACTGGACGTTCTCTATAAAAATATATGTCGCGTATATGTTTCTGTATGTGTGTCTTACCGAAGAAAATAAAAAAATGTGTATTTATTTATTTTGTTCTTTTTTGTTTTATTTCTATAGTAAATTCATTAAAATTGAAGAGCAAAAAACATAAATTTCAACTTATTACGACATCAATAAAACAAAAAAATCGTGTATGTATATTAAAAGAAAATTGCTTTTTTGGATTATTACTAATCTCTTTATTCGATTATAGTTATAATTTACTGCTAAACTATTTTTTAGAAGAATTATGACTTCTCTGGCAGGAAAATCGATAACAACATTGGATATGATTGCATTAATTATGTATTTTGTTTTATTAATATCAGCCGGTTTCTATTCAATGTTCAAATATAATCGTTCCACTGTTAAAGGCTACTTTTTGGCTAGTCGTCAAATGCCTTGGATATGTATCGGTGCCTCACTTTTTGCCAGTAATATTGGAGCAGAACATTTCATTGGTCTGGCTTCGAGTGGAGCAGCAAAAGGTAATGAATAAATAATACTGTCTTAATTTATTTATCTACTATTTTAATATTATAATTAAATCAGGTCTTAGCGTTGGTGCATTCGAATTGAATGCGATTGCTGTTATGCAAATACTTGGTTGGGTGTTTCTACCTGTATTTATTTCCAGTGGCGTATCAACATTACCACAATATATGTCAAAACGTTTTGGTGGACAAAGAATTCGTGTTTATCTAGCATGTTTATATCTCTTACTCTACATATTAACAAAAATAAGTGTAAACATTTATGCCAGTTCATTATTTATCAATTATGCATTTGGATGGAACTTATATTTAAGTGTATTACTTGTGTTAGGTTTAACAGCACTTTGTACAGTCACTGGAGGATTAGCAACGGTAATTTATACTGATTCAGTACAGGCATGTATCATGTTAATAGGTGGTTTTATATTAATGATTATTTCATTTAATAAAATTGGCGGTATTTCAAATTTATATCGACAATATTTATTGGCTGTACCAAGTTACACAAATAGTACAATACCTTCATACACGTCAGTATTTAGTAATCAAACAACGACTGGAATATGTGGAAAACCAAGCGTAAAATCATTTCAAATGCTGCGTTCTTACAAAGATCCAGATATGCCTTGGTTAGGCTTTTTTCTTGGGCACACACCAAATACAATATGGTAAATATAGTTTGATTTAGATGACAAGATGTTTCAAGCTATGAATTATAGATAAAAAAATAACATAAGATACATGGAAGTTAAAAATGATTCATTTTTTAAGGTATTGGTGTTCGGATCAAATGATGGTACAACGCGTTCTGGCAGCTAAGACTTTATCGCATGCACGTGGTGGTACTTTATTAGCAGGTGAGGCTGATTAAATTGCTGTTTGTGCTTAAAATTCTCTTTGCTCTTAACAATAGAAATAGTATTAATTTAGGCTATCTGAAAATTCTGCCTCTGTTTATGATTATTTTACCTGGTATGATTAGTCGTTCGTTATTCCCAAATACTGTTGGTTGTAATCAACCATCTGTATGTGAAAAATTATGTAATAGTAAACGTAGTTGTACAAATATTGCTTATCCAGCTCTAATCTTAAATGTACTACCGGATGGTTTGAAAGGCATCATGTTAGCTGTGATGTTGGCTGCACTTATCTCCGGTCTTACATCTATTTTCAACTCAGCTTCCACTTTATTCACCATTGACATATATCCAAATTTATTATTCAGAAGAAAAGACAAAATAACAAATCGTGAATTAATGATTGTTGGACGTTTATTTGTTATATTAATGACTGTTTTTGGTATAGCATGGATTCCCATTGTAATTGAAATGCAAGGGAGTGAATTATACATATACATGCAACAAGTTAGTATAGTTCAAACAAAAATTTAACAATTCTTATTAACTTGATCATGCTAATTTTAGGTTATTGGCTTCTTAGCACCACCCATCGCTTGCATATATATTTTGGCTATCTTATGGAAACGTGCAAATGAAGTTGGTGCATTCAGTGGTCTAATGGTAGGATTTGCATTTGGTTTACTTCGTATGATATTAGAATTTTCACATATACCACCACTTTGTGGACAAGTTGATCGACGTCTATTATTTATTCGTAAAATTAATTTTATGTATTATGCCATATTTCTCTTTTGGTTAACATTAATAACATGTGTCATTGTATCCCTATGTACCAAACCGCCAACGAAAGAGCAATTATTTAGAACAACATATTGGACCCGCAAACAAAAGAGTATGAATAGAGATTTGGTTGTAATAGAATTACCAGACACAGTTTCCGATGTAGCAGCTATACTCAAGTAAGTAAAAAAAAAATAGCGTTGAAATAAAACATAGTGACATTCTTTATTTTTTACAGTCAACCAACATATGAGAAAACATCATTTGAATATGATTCACATAATTCTACATATCAATCGTATCCAGTTTGTGAACAACTACAACCGGATGCATTGTTGAACAGTAAACCTGACCAAACCGATCAAAAATATCTTGATACTGGATCGATTACTCGTATTTGTACAGCTCGAACTAGTGTAACAAATATGGACGAAATAAGTAGTTCATCAAAAAACATTATAAAAATACCACGTGGAAATAGGCGAGACGATAGTTGTATGGCATTTAAATATTTGAAACAATTTGGATCATGGTTTTGTGGATTAGAAGAAGAAAAACAGACTGCTATTGTTAATGAAGAGAAAGAAAATAGTTTGAATGAACAAAATCAAACTGAACAACCAACAGAAACACGACTAATAATGTTAAAGCAACGGTCACACATTAAATGGATACTAAATATTAATTTATTGATATTAATTCTAATCGAAATTTTACTTTTTGTTCTCTTTTCATTACCAGCTAAATATACATTTTTGAGAAATAACTAGTAGTTTGTGTGAGAACATTGATTTTAAACTTGGACTAGCTTGTGTTTTTTAATTGATTTATCAATTAATTCCAGTTTTGGTCAGATCATCTCGCTAGTCAACTCGAAAATAAATGTAAAATCTCACAAACAGTTTCAAATGCTTTCGTTTGCTTTTATTTTTAATTAGTAAGTAAAACACAGAAAAGTTTTGAAGTTATTTTACCATTTAGACCAGATATTGTTTTTTATTTTAAATGAGCTTTAATCTGTATAAAAACCGTTTTTTTGTTGTTGTATACTTTCTTTAAGTTATTTTTAAGTATTATTTTATTTTATTAGATGTTAACTATTATTTGTGCAAAAAATGACAGTAATTAATTTTTAAGAAAACAGTATTCTTATTTTTTTGAATAATGAACAGTGGAACGTTGTCATTGTCGAAAGGCAACTGTTTCTATGTAATTTGTTAACTTGTCAATGAACTCTCAACATCAAAATCTTGTTTTTTTTCAAAAATATAATATATAGGTTCGCTTTCTTTCTTGATTCTGTGTTTTTAGCGAAATCGTTGAAATTAGTCATCAATAGTAGATTGACAAGAGATGATAAAATGCGCTTTTCTCTTATACGCAAAATAATTGATGGGAAATCTTTCAATAATTTTCGAGCAATTTCTGAAATGTATACCCCGATGAATGTACTGAGCACAGGGTATCCGAATAAATATCTTACTGTAGATAACATAATAGATACCCGAGATATTTTGGGGTAATTGAGTACTTTAAAGTACCTGTCCAGGTACTCAGGCCAGATCACTTCATCATGTCTAATGAAGTATATTTCGATATTTGACTGCCTAAAGGGGTACTTTGGCGACATACACATTTTCACATAATTAAAGCAATTTTGAATTGATTGTTTTTAAAAAGGTCATCATCATTGAAGCGTTGGGCTGACAGTAAATATCGCTTTTAGTGAAGGTGGCCACTTTTTTTAGTGAAGTAGAGAAAAATGCTAAGAATTTCAAAACCGACAAAAAACCAGTCAATTTCCGGCCGGTTTGAAAATCTTTCTAGACCGATCCGGTTATAACTCTGGACTGAAGTACTAAGTGTCTTGAAGTACTAAATGTCTATAGACACTTAGTACTTCAGTCCAGAGTTGTAACCGGATCGGGCCTATAGGCCTAGACACTTAGTTAGATTGACTCTGACTATGAGGACACTCTATTTAATCCCTTGGTTGTCCTCGGTATTCGCTGAAAGTTAGTCAGAAATAAAAAGTCTCTCTTGGTGTTTTCCCTGCTGTATGAACTAGAAACATACTGCAAATCCACTCACCGTTGAATCGAGCTGAGTAGAACGATTCTGAATCATGTATTAGTGCGAAGTTTATATTTTATTGATATGGAATATTTGACTATAGTCAACATGAACCTCTTGGTTTTTTTCAAAGATATAGTGGTAGATACAAGTTCGCTTTCTTCTTCAAAATGATCCTTCTATAGAAGCCATAACGAAAAACCATTCTTCTGCACTGTTAGTTAGTTAGTTTAGATAATACCCATCATTCACCCCGAGAGTTCGTTTTCGGTAGGTGTTCACAACCAGCGTATTTGCTTCGACTTATTACTTGATGTTGTTATTCTTGCATCAGCTTTTAGCACATGCTTTAACGTGCCCAGTTATTCCTTGTGGTTTGAATTGTTTGCCACAACCCGGACATTTATACTTGTTGTTTGTAGCTTTGGATAGCACCACTATAACTTTGCGTTTAACCACTCCATGTGCTACTGCCAGATCATAGTTTCTACGCTTCACTGCCTGTTGTGTAAACCCGTAGACAATGTCTTTAATCCTGGAATTTACAGGTCTAATTTGTACATTTCTATTTATTACTTCCCGCCAATGATTTCTGTCCACCATTTCCCTTCTCCAATTCTTAATTTGGCATCGTTCAATGTCATTTTGAATGTTATCCTCCCATCTTTTCCTTATACCAATGTTTCGAGGTCGTTTTTCCGCAGGGAAGTATGAGAACATGCTCTTCTTGACTACTGAGACTTCGTTATCACTATTTGTCAACCTGTTTACGTGTCCAAACCACCGCAAGCGGTTTCTGCGTAAGATATTTTCCATTGGTGGTTGTCCAGTGATTTCAAGCAGTGTTTCATTTGACATTCTGTCTCCTAGATTTACTCCGATTATTGTTCGCAGACATCTCATGTAAAAGGTGTTAATTCTGCGTTCTTGTGCCTTCGTGATGGACCACGTTTCACTGCCATAGAGTAATACTGGGAGCACACACGCTCGGAAAATTCCCAGCCTGGCACTAATCGATACACTTTTCCTGCACCAAATTACATGTCTCAGCATGTTAAATGCATTAGCCGCTTTCGTTAAGCGTGTGTTAATTTCTTTGTCTGCCTTCTGCACTGTCAATTTCCACAAACCGTCAAAGGTGACAATTTTCTCTAATATTTTTTCTAAGTTGGATTGTAAAAATAACTAGACTGCAATTGCGCTGTCGACAGACTGTATCTGATCTGAATCTGCCAGAAGCGGTCCGCAATCATCAGGAGAGTCATCACATCACCTTCGTTGTGATTTCAGTAGCTTTAAAAGATAGGTTTAAGAAAAATGAAATGAAAACGAAATTTGAAGAAGAGAAAGAGAAAGAGAAAGTAACGAAAGAGCTGAGAAAGAGAAAGAAGATTGTCTGAAGAACAAATGGTGCCGAACAACAAGCTATTGACGGATTTATGAAAACTGTCTAAGTTCAAAGACAATTTTGTTCCACTTTTCCAACGTGAATCTTGGAAAAACAATGTCCAATGGTCAATTTTTGGTACTCATAGAACGATTTCGTGTTTTCAGAATTTTCTACATTGTGTAGTTCTCGAGATCATGCGGCTCGCATTTTGCAAAACAAAGTGACTAAACAAGAAAGAAAAAGAAATTCCCTGCAAAAACTCATGATGTCTATCAACATAATAAATTTTGTTTGAAAACGCGTGCAACTAAACAGAAATACAGCACGGACTTTGTTCTACATATGTAATAAAAAAATATTCAAAGCATAGTGTCAGTTGGCATGCGAATGAAAAGCAGACTTCCATCATATTCGAAAATTCTGAATGTTGCTGTGGAAAATAGCCACAATCCGACCATGCAAATGGAATCATTGGTCTAAAGATAGCGGAACTGAGCTGATTATGAACGAGAGAATGCAGTTTGATGATAGCATTTTAAATCGACACTGAGTTCGTTGAGGAATATACCTTGGTACAATCTCTCTGTTAACTCTTTTCACTGTGAAAAAAATCTTTGTCTGTGTTTGAGTCTGCCCTCCTCGCATTAGCTGCAAAGCATAGCCTAATCACAAAATGAGACTTAGAGAGTACGCGACACGCGTTCGAAACGTAGTCGACATATGGTTTCGATATATTTCAATTTCTGGGCCTACAACATGGCATCTTCGAAGGATTGTTGAAGCACTTTCAACAAAAAGATTTGAATTCTCTGTACTCACGGTGTTAGTGATTTTGAAGTATGCACATACAGGCATGCTTAGTCCTTCTACTTTAGTTTAACGTGTGAGCATGTACAGTCGGGTGTGGCGCATCCAGTGGTACAAACCCGATATTTTAAAATCATATTATCCTTCAAACAGAAAACTCCCAACAAATGTCTTAAAATGACTTTTCACAAAGTAAAATTGAGTTAGCGTTTCAAATAATAGCTATAGGGAAGAACGCTTTATGCCATTGTGATCAACTCGTCGAGCTCTACAAACTGGGATATATCCAATTTGAAAGTGAGAATGGCACTTGGGAACTTTCCCTCATAAGTTGTAAAAATTTTCAAGAGGAATACAATTTAGCAGTAAAAACTATTTAGCAAAGTTCATTCGTCGATAAAATGTAGAACTGCAGCGAGATAGCTCGTGTTAGTGCATACCAGCGGAAAAAAAATAAAGTTAGTTTTGGGTTGCTGAAAAGTGCTTTTTTGTATTCAGTACATCTTCAAATATTTGGCAAACAAAGAAACAACAGTTATACAATGTTCAACAATCACCACCTCATAGTCAACAACCTTGTGAAGTTCAATCAAATGAATCATCTACTTCGACTGAAATTTATAACACCATAAAGGCGTTACTGAATCACTTACCGCAAGCAGAACAAGACGAAGTATATCTAATGCTATTAAAACATCAATCATTATGTGAATTAACGAAACGAAAAATAACAAATACACACATACAACATGTCATTCGTACAGGCGATCATTCGCCAATTAGTTCACGTCCCTTTCTGAGCACTATCCATCAACAAAAAACGTTATCAGAACATATTCACCAAATGGAAAAAGACCATTTCATCAGACGTTCAACATCCCTGTGGGTATCTCCCGTGGCGTTAGTTAAAAAACCCGATGGAGCAGCCAGGGTTTGAGTGGATTATAGAAAAATCAATCATATCACCAAAAAAGATCCCTATCCTTTGCCACATATGGGTGAAAGAATTAATCGATTGGGTAGTCACAAATATTTCTCAAAATTAGGCCTGAAATCTGGCTACTTTCAAATCCCAATTCATGAAGAGTATAAAGAAAAAACCCGCTTTTATCGTTCAAGATGGTCATTGGGAATTCAATTTGCTAACTCAAGGACTAAAAAATGCTCCACGCACATTTCAACGCATCATGAATCAATTGTTAGTATCAAAAATGGGATCATTGCTTACTATAGATCGATGACGCCATTATTTTTTCGAAGTAGTTTCAACAACATTTACAACAATTGAGTGATATTTTGTCCGTATTAAACAAGGCAAATTTTACCTTAAACTCCTGGCTGCGTATCATGATCATCCAACAAGCGCACACTTTGGAATTAGACGCACATGGTCTAAACTAAAAGATCACTATTTTTGGCCCAACATGATGACAACAATCATAAATTATGTTCGATCATGTCAACCATTTAATATCAGAAGGAAAAAACTGCCAGGCAAACTATATCCTATTGCACTTCCGGATGGAATATTTGAAGTCGTTGGGATGGGCTTTTCGGGTCCAGCATCTAATCCCTCGGCACAAGATAACAAATATGTGTTAGTGATAACCGATTATTTATCCAAATATGTCATCGCCAAAGCAATGTCCAATAACTCAGGGACCACAGCAGCTCAATTCATCGTAGAAGAAGTTATATTAAAATATGGCGTCCCGAAAAAATTAATCACCGATCAAGGTACGCATTTTAAGAGTGAACTGATAGATGCAATTGCATCACTGGTGGATGCAAACGTGTATTTACCACTACATATCATCCTCAGACTAATGGACAAGTGGAACGTTTCAATGCGACGTTTTATCTACAATTAGCAAAATTACACGATGAAAATGTTAATCATTGGGATGAATATTTGCCAGCATGCATATTCGCATACAATAGTAGACAGCATGGTACAACTGGTAGTAATGGTTGAAAGAATGTCATAAAATAGGAACAGAGAGCTGCAAATATCTTGATTTCTAAGTTTGCGGAGTCCGAGTTTTGCCGAAATATACAACGAGCCTTCAATTTCACACTTTCAAACAAAAGCAAACTGGGACATTATGGCAAAACAGGCACTCATATTTGAGAGTGAGTATGCACTCATTTATGCTTCACAGCCTCTCTTCATATAGAAGATATCAAGGATTCAAACTCTTGGCAATGTACAGTTGTTTAGATGCGACGCAATTCCAATTGCTTGCGAATGAAGTGATTCTTGAAATCTTTGAATACTTTCATGCTTATGATATTCTCCACTCATTTCTTCGACTAAACGATCGTTTCGATCAACTACTTGGCAGCCTACACTTCGACCTTAACTTTCAGCACATCAGCAAATCCAGATGTGACTTTATCTGCGCACACTTTCCATCAACGGCACAAGTTTGTTTACTGCGTCTGTCTGAAGAGATGTCCAATTACATTGATTTGTTGTTGTTCACCGAGTTTCCCAAGAACACACTGGTAAATCTTCGCTCTTTATTCTTGTCCGCTATCAAACCAGAGGAAGTGATCAAAGTCCTGGTGCCACACTTCTCCTGCATGACGCAACTATCGTCACTAAGCTTGGCTATGCAATTACACGGCATGACGGCACATAATGCTTTTGAACAGGTCATTGCCATAATTGTAGACAATTTGAAAGTAAACACGACTCTTACTCAGCTTTATCTTAGATATAACAAAATACCCGATAGAGGAGGTGAAGCACTAGCAGAAGCACTAAAAGTGAACAACACTCTGATTCAACTTGATCTTAACAAAAATCAAATATCGGTGAGAGGAGGTGAAGTACTAGGAGAAGCGCTTAAAGTAAACAAAACTCTCACTCAACTTCGTCTGGGATGGAACGCAATATCCGATAGAGGGGCTATAGCATTAGCAAAAGCACTAAAAGTAAACAACACTCTCACTCTGCTGCATCTGAACTGCAGCCAAATATCGGAGAGAGGAGGTGCAGCAGAAGCACTGGAAGTAAACAGAACTCTCACTCACTTTTATGTAGGGCGGTTAAAATACAACAAAAAAGTGTAAAGTGGATTTGTCTAGAAAGATGTGGTAGCAGCATCGATGAAATTTGAACGACCGGTTTCTTTATTTTAGTCTTATCCAACCCTTTTCATCGGCTTCATACTTTTCATACTATTCTACTTGTTTTACTTTTTAACGCTTTGATACTTTTCGTCGCTTTCATACTGAAATTCTGCAACATGTGCGGGATACTACACGTATCAGTAGACTTCTACTGTTCCGCACTTCTGACTTGGAACAGCTTATGAAGCGGCTGACTTTCATTAAGTCTCCCCACGCGATCCGCAGTCGGTCAGCCCACTACCAGCTTTTAGTTACACTATATCAATGTATTCCTGCAGTATATTTCATCTTACGCTTTTTCTGGTGTATCCTAACCGCTTTGCCTTTATGTTGGATACAAGCGTATATCCGGAGAGCTGTTGCAAGAAGATCGAATAGCCGTTCTCTAGTATGGTTCGGAGACAGCATGGTTTTGTTTTTGTAGAGGCTTTCCTATTTGTTTGTTTTTTATGTGTGATTGTGATGTACTTTTCTTGAATTGTTCAACATGAGTTCAAGCGCTTAAGACATACTGCATAAGTGCTAGATCGGATTCCTTGCACGGAGGATAAGACTCCAAGGAGAGTTAATACATTTACTCAGTTCGTGGCATGGAACTATGATTTCGAAAGCTAGATCAGAACTGATAAGCTCTGGTTCGCGGATAAATGATGTTGTTCAGTGGCCATGAGTAGTACAGAAGGCGCAATGTGAAGTCTTAAAAACGACTTTTAAGTAAAGCGTTTTCAAGTCTTTCCTGTCTTTATAAACGTGAGCAAAGTCGAGCGCAAGTTTTGGAAATAGACTTATTGTTGGGCGAGTCACTATTACAACATTATATGTTAGTACTACAGATGCATATTCGTAGCTTATAAAACATAGAATGTAGATGGACTTGCCCAAGTCCAAGAAAACGGTATCGTTAACGGCGGGTGAGGGTGAGGTGAGCAAGCAGGGCTAATTAATTATTAATCTATACGCTAGTGTAGTTTTTTCTGAAATATCTGAAATGCGATCATAACTAAAAATGATTCTCGATCTAAGTACACTAGAATCACATTTGTATAATTAGTTTTGATTAAAATGTTAACTGTTTAAAAATAGGCTGAGCAGTTAAATTTTTTGCTAAAATTTTATCTCAATTAGTTTATAACTCTGCAAATACTTATCAGCTCTCCGATAACGATTTAGAAAATATGTAGTCAGATGTCCTCTACAATCTACGAAGGTTTAAGAGTACCTTTGTGGCGATCCGTCCCCCACTCCCTTAATTCAAACTACTTTTAAGCTTCAGAAATGATGTTAATACTTTATCTTAAACATATTTATATTAATTTCAGAAGTCAAAATTCGTTTGAATGAATATACATTAATTTTGGCTCTACAAATGGAGTCAAACTGACGTTTAGTATCGAAATTGATTAAAGTTATGAATAAAAAACTTATTTAAATGAATTTGAAGCGAACTTAGTTCAAATTACACTTAACTGACGAAATTGGTATACAATTAATTCGTTTCAGTTGAATTTAAATGAATACGAAACTCTTATGTTGCTGTGAATTAACGCTTCAGCTTCTTTTCGATAAGAATAATATTTTGGATAAATTTTGACGGTTTCCATAAAATGCTTCGATATACAATATCCCTAGTGGAAGTTTTTGGGTCCAAGAAGTGACAAGATCTTGCGGACAAGGATATCCCAAGATCTTGCCGTTTCTTGTGCAAGAAACAACATTTTATCTTTTTGCTCAAGAAATGTATTTCCTGCTACGATGAAACCTGCTAGCAAGAAAAAAGCAAACAAAGGAAATGTCTGGATCGAGATTCGAACTCGCGATCCAGTGAGATCGTCATCAAAGGAAACATCCAAGAGAGTTATAGCTCGAGCAAAAAATGTTCAAAATTTGATTCTGCATTGAACAGAACCCATACGGTTTTAAGAACACTCATAGTTAACGAGAAAACAGGTAACTACTGTTTTTCTCAGCAGGGGAGACATCCTAGACTTTTGAGCCTAAAACAAAAAAATGCACAGCATGGATTTCAGGAAACGCGTTAATTAGCAAGAAAAACGCTAACTTTTGATAATTAGCACTTTTTACCGTGATGGAAGTATCTAATCAAGGATGGGAAAATGGTAGAAAATGGCCCAATATGATTTTGAGTGAAAATGCCCGGAAATGCTTCCCTTTTCACTTCCCACTTTCAAAAATTCCTTCTGTTGTCTCTGAAAAAAAAAATTCCTTTTCATTTTTCGTTACCAGTTTAACAAAAGCCATTTAGCTTTCTCCATAAATGTTTTCGTTGGATTTCAAGCTCATACATACAATTATAAATGAGCTTTTAAAAAATATGTCCATATAGGACAATTGTCGAAACACTGTGCTTCTGTAGCGAATCAATAGAGCCGTGTCAAATAAGGAATATCTCTTTCACTTCTTGGCAAATATTAGCAGATGTCTACAGAGAGTGTTCTGATGTATCGTGTTCTTCTTTCTATGTGGTAAAGATATTAGAGATATATAAAGATTCAACATGTGAATATCTGTGACCTCTTCGGGCTGTATGGATAACTATAGTTCTATCTATGATTCATAACTCAGCCAGTTTTTTCGTGAAATGAAATAATTTTTTTTATTATTAGTTTCGCGAGATTTACCTCGATTCAAACGAGTAAACAAACCCGAAAATAGTCTAGAAAGTACTACAAAAATATCGATAAAAGCAGAAATGTTGTTTTTCGTCCAAAGAACGACAAAACACATTAGAGGCTTGCATGGACACTTTTTTTTTGTCCATATGCGTTCGTGTCCATGGACAAAATTTTTTTTCTGTCCATGTCCATCATTTTGTCCATGGAACGTTCGCGGTTTTTAAACAAGTTTTGCGTATGAAAATTTCATTCCTTTTTCTATATTCAGCAAAAAACGCGTTTACCTGTTACAGAGCAAACATACAATTCTAAAAAATACTTGTTAGGCACCGAATTACTAAAAGTTACTATTCTTCATTCTTGTGTTCGACCTGTTCATCGTCACCGACTGCGGCATCAATCCCAACTCTCTTCAATACTTGAAGGTTTCGTGCTGAGAGAAGCAGAGAAGAAGAAAAACGGTATAGACTATATTCTGTTTGTTTGTTCCTTTCTTTCTTCCTTAAGACCAAATATCTTATCACTGGCGTTCAACCGAATTGTTGTTTTGCAAAAATTTAAAAGTTTTTCAGTTTGTCCGTGTCCATGGACAAATTTAAAAAACTATCCATGTCCATGGACGTCCATCGACATGAATAGTGACCAAGAGACAAAGAAATTTTGAAAGAAATGATATACGTCAGATGTGTACTTTTCTTTGTTTTATACTAATAGTATCTAAAGGACAAGATTCTGTTCCTCTCAATTATTAAAGGAGGTAAGGCGCCGGTAATTCGAAATTGGAGTATATACCTTCTAGGAGGGTATACCTCCTTTAATAATTTCATAAGAAAGCCAGTGATAAGATAGAGTACTTCGGGGTAACTACAGGCACTCTTCGAATTTGGCCCATAAAATATATTCAAATTAATATCGTACATAGTGTGAAGCCAGTATGATAGCTTATCCAATGGAATAATAAGCTAATTTTCACATATGTGATAGAGTTCAGTAGTCTGAAGAACTTTGTCACTTGATCTAATAGTAAATTCGGCTTCTGATAGTCGGTAAAGGTTTGTCTCTGACAATCCGTTTACGCACCGTATTTTACCGTAAACCAGGCCGGTGTTTTACGACCGTATTTACGCCGTACAATATACGGCGTGTTTACGGCTTAAATAAGATCATCGTATATAGCCGTATATGCACTGTAAATGACCATAAG